TTGAGGGTTTATGGGTTGAGGGTTTAAGGCTTTAGGCTGGTTTAGGGCTTTAGGGGTTTCAACGGTTGAGGGGTTTTGGGTTTAGGGGTTGACGGGCGAGCTCCAATCAAGCCTGTGTACAAGGGGTTGAGGGGTTTAGGATTTAGGGCTTTAGGGTTTAGGGGTTTAGGGTTTTGGGGTATAGGGGTATAGGGGTTTAGTGTTTAGGGCTTGAGGGTTCAGCGGTTTAGGGGCTTGGGGTCTAGGGCTTTAGGGTTTTAGGGTTTAGGGGTAAAACAGAAAAGGGTTTTTGGAGTTGAGGGTTTGGAGGTTAAGCCTAAAGGATTAAGTTTAGGTGACACCCAAACACTAGAGGGGATCTTAGGTCGCTGCGATCCTTAAATCCTCAGCCTTCAGACTAAGCTTTAGGGGTTTAGGGTTTAGGGGTTTAGGGGTTTCGGGTTTCGCTGCAGACCGGATGCACAAGGGTTTTAGGGTGACTAAAGCTTCACATTGTGTATAGGGCCAGATTTCGGAGTGGAGTCCTACCAGTAGAAATCCACAGCTGCCTAAATCCAAGAAGCATCAGGCTCTGCGGTGTAGCGTGTTGTGGGGGGCTTAGAGCATAAACAGTACAGTGTAGGGTCTCTGGCATCGGCTTTGCGACATGATACGGGCTGTTGGTTCCGTTAGAGCCGACCCTGCCACTTCTCCAAACCCACTGAGTTTTAGGGTTCAGGGTTTAGGGTTCAGCAAGCCCGAAGGCCCGAATTCGACAACATGGAGTAACAGATAGCGAGATCACGCGAGCAGGTCCTTAAAAGCTGGCGGAGGTTGGACTTTCATACTCTAATATAGGGGGCCTTAATAAATTAATACTTATCTATACTATTTTGGGGGTTCCTTATCATAATTATGGTATAATATGCCCGAGAACCCCACCCTAATTATTCAGGCTCCTGCATTACTCCCACGTTTAGACTTTAGCATACACCCAAGCCGCGGCTCCAAGAGCCAAAGGGGAACCCGACGCCATGATTAGCCGAGGCTCCGAAACCAAAACCCAAAAGGTACACCCATCCAGGCTGCGTCAAGCATGGATACGGTTTAGGGCTTTAGGGTGTTAGGGTGTTAGGATTTTAGGACTTTAGGGTTTCAGGGTTTTAGGGTTTAGGGTTTTGAACGACAGACATCTGGACTCTAATTATAATGCCAACATGTAAGCTTGCAAAGCACATGTGGGCATCTCGATGCTGATGCAGATGGTTCTGGCACATTTTTCGGACCAGGATCCAGCCACACGCAAAACCAATCACCCAAGCCAATGACAGTAGAGGAGTTGTTTTTCTCATCCTTAATGACAGTGCCATTTCTGGTTATTTGTTCCAGTTCTTACCGCTTGCTCCTGTGGATACATACATACATATATATATATATATATATATTGTGCTCACACGCTAGCCACATTGAGACCCAAACACTTGAAAGCACTGAAGCCGCAGCCCGAAATTCGCCCAGAACGCGAAGACCCGGACCCAATGCTTGCAGCCCCAAAAGCCATAAACCCTAAACAGCTCGTCCAGGATGGTGTTACCAAGCCAACTTTTGGCGTCTGCTGCAGACATCAGGGCAGTGCCAGCTGGAGGCAGGTGCCAAGGAAAATACGGTTTTCTCACGACCGCGGAGCCAGCGGAGACCTCGAAGCACGGTTTAGGGTCTAGGGTTTAGGGAATGTCAGAGCTCTGTGCCGTACAGGCGTCATGGCATAGCCTTTCATCACCAGTCCGCTGCCAGAAACGAGTTTACCCGTGATACTGTTTAGGGCTCGGGGGCTTATTTTCGGGTTGCCTCACCCGAAACCCGTGCCTAAATGCCGGGCATAAGAGCAAGGTCTGAATAATCACCAGAAGCATCTCTTGTAGCCCTGTCACCCTGCAGTTATATTATAGAACCCGACGGATCCATGAAAAAAGCCTGAGAGGAGCCCTGTTTAGGACCTGTCAGGTCGCAGCAACCATGGCCAACGTGGCCGAGCTTACCGAGCTCGCCTCAGGGAAGAGGCACAGGGCTTAGGTTAGAGTTCAGGGTTTAGGGCTTTCAGTGCTTACCCACGTTCAAAGCCAACATGGAGCTCAAAACAGTCCTTAAGGAGACAGCCCAGTAACTCGAGACCTTCCTTTACTTTCCTTCTTCTTGGAACTATCCTAGAATGCACCCGCCAAAACCCTACTCTGAGCATGAATGCTGCCAAGGCCTTTGTACTACGCCCCAAATCGTTCAGCCCTGCTTCGTTCTCGAGCTCGAGTCTGCAAGCCGGATCTTTTTGCGCCGAACATCAGGAAACCCGACCAGTTAAATGGAACCATATAAACGTCAAGACGCAGAGTAATATACGGGCCTTAACAATCGCCTATATTACTTTGGGGGTTTAGGTTCGGTTCCTTATTGTAGTTATGGTATAATATTCCCCAAAACCCTATTCTAATTATTCAGGCCCCTAGATTAGGTCGGGGTGTAGGTTGTACTTCGGTTGCCAGGGGACTACAAGGTAAGATCACCATCTCGCAGAAGCACTGACATTCTCAAAACCCCAAACCCTGCCAAAAGTAATCGAACTGCAACCTAACCCTTTCTGAAACCTTACCTGCAGTACGTTCTCAAGCTGTAATCGATCTCTACCATGTGCCTTGAACTTCAAGTGCCATCCTAAGCCGACCTCGTAGTCTTGGTATCAAAAGCCTTATGCACGGCTTTAAGCTTGAGGGTTTAGGGTTTGGGGTTGTTTGAGGCCGAATAGTTATTGACAGCCTCCCTTTATTATCGACCTTAGTAGCACTACAGTACAATATGCCTCAAAATTCACAAGTAGTGATAGTATCCCCTTTTGGTCCCTGCTAATGAATTCTAGTACAATATACCCCAGACCTTATTCTGATTATTCGGGCCCCCAGATTAACCCACCCTAGCCTGGGTGAATCCTGCCACTCCACTGCTCGAGTGCTCGTTTAAGAAGTCATGGAAAGCTTCATCCCTACATTAAGGTCTTCTCCCTTACGTGATCTTTGAACAAGAGTACCAAGAATCCTCCCACCCTAAACCCTAAACCCTAAACCGTGTCAGGCGCCAGGGTCTGACGAAGCGGGGTGCCGTCTGCGCCGATCCGATCCGGGCACGCCCGGGCGGCTATGGGTTTTGGGTTTCGGTTTAGGGTTTAAGGTTTAGGGTTTAAGGTTTAGGGTTTTAGGGTTTAGGGTTTTAGGGTTTAGGGTTTGGGGTTCGGGATCTCTATGCCAGCACAGGTAATGAGCCCAATCAGATTCCAGAAACGTACGCCAATACGGCGTTGTGTGACTATATCGTTTTGCGGTACCCCCGAAGACCCTAGACTGTAAACCGCACTATCTGTGCGAGTCGAAGCCCTGGTTTTAAAACCCTAAACTCTAAACACCCTAAACTGCAGTGCGACCTAGTCAGCGAAGCGGGTGGGAAAAAAACACCCTAAACTTTACCTGAACCCTTTTGCGGTATATTATAGTGTTAGAGATATGTCGGGACTGTGAGGGAAACTGCCGGGACAAATTCAAACCACTGTGCTATCTGAGTGTCTTCGCACACTTTAAGCCCTCAAGGCACGCAAAGAGTGGGAATCCTCTGCAGTTCTGCGACGTAAAGATCATTCCCAGTGCCCAGAAAGCTTCATAGCTATCTATATATATATATATGTATATATATATATATGTATAGAGAGAGAGAGAGAAGTCCATACGCTTGGTCGAATCCGCAACATACCTTACCTAGAATTATAGGACCGCTCTATCAGTATGGGGGGGCGTTCCGTATACAGTGCGAGGGTGCCTATTGCAGTATTCACTGGTTGCATGTAACTGAGGGTTTCCAGACGTTTTGCAGGGCTGGCAGTCTTCTCGAGGTTGTGTCGATTTGGGTCAGTGGATCCAGTTGAAGTTCTTCGGGGTTCTTATGGACTTTTACATGCATGCAGATCATCTGCAGAGTCAAGGAAATACTTTACATCGACTTCATGACTCCATCTATCAGGATCATCAGTTCGTCAGCTCTTTCAACAGCGTATCCGACAGATTAGCTCGTAAGATCATGAGGATTGCCTTGCGCATCTCGCCACGAGTGCGATGTGCTGAGAGGGAACTTGGCCGGGCGAGCTTCAAGCAAGCCTGTGTAAAAAGGGGGGGGGGGCATCGGGCTCTCTGGGAAATCGCATTCAGCAACGTATCCCTACAGGGTTCAGGGCATGCCCCTGAGGGTAGTTCTCGAAGCCAGGCTGAGAGTTCCCTTATAAGTCAGGGTGGCGTGCTCGGTTGGCTAGGTTGAAAATTGGTCCCGAAACCTCTGGACACAAAATCCGTCCTAACCTTGGAATGTCCCACCCGTAACAGCACTGAGACCAGGAGCCTTCAACAAATAGCCCTAGCGTCGCCAGACACCTAACTGCCGCAAGGTTCGCAAGAGAAGGCCTCGAGTGGATGTCAAATGCACCGGCCAGGCGATCTTTGAGCATTTAGGGTTAAGATATGTAGGGTTTAGGCGTTTAGGGTTTAGGGGGTTTATGGGGTTTAGGGGATTAGGGATTGGGGTTAGGGTTTAGGGTTTACGGTTTAGGGCCGACGTCACAAGCCCGGATGCAAAAGGGATTGGGGTTAGGGTCCGATTTTGCTCTGCCACGTGCGCCCGTGCAAAGTCGGGCATTTGTTCAGCTAGGTTAGCATGTATGATGTCCTTTTCGGGCAAGGGGTCCTGGGACCGAAAATCTAGCATCCTCCAGGGTCGTATAACCTGAATGGGCATCCTATCATCTGGAGTCATGCCTAAGCCTTTGTGAACCTGAAACCTTAAAACTAGGTCTGAACCCAACCACCGAAACCTTAAATCCTAAGACCACGCCTAGTCTACTCGAACTTGAGGCAAACACAAACCCACATCTTTGCCCTGAACCTAAACCCACGTCTTTCCAGGCCTTCCTCTGCAAGCCTGGATCACGCCTCGGCTTGCTTGCCACGACCGTGGGGGGCAGGGGAGATGAGGTGAAACAACATGTGAATGTGGCCCTTAAGATGGATATCCCTAAAGCCCGCAACTGTACACAGGGGGATTCGTAGCTGTGTGCATCTTCACCAAATTTGCAACTGCGGATTAGGTCGACGAACTCGAGACTCGAGACTTCTTCGTATCTCAGAAGCGGACTGTATCTGCACCGGCCATGGTGCGAGTATTCGACCTTTCCAATTTAGATGCTTCCTTCCCGCTGGGCACCGAGGAAGCATGTGTCGTTAAGTTCCCGATTTCGTGATCGGTCGCTGCTTGCTGGGTGTCTTCTGCTGCTGCAGACCACCATGACAATTTACCACATTCCGGTTCAACAAACACACTGACAGTCTGGTTCGCCGTTGTGAGTTTCGTTGTTCTCGTTGCTCTGGTCGATCTCGTCCAGCAGTCCGTCCTGAAGCCTGAGTCGGGATACCAAAGCATCTTGAAGCCGGGATGCGCCTCTGACAGATTCTGGTTCGTGGATCCGGACTTTCTAATTCTGTAGGACGGGACTTCGGAAGCGCTTCAGGGTTCACGATTGTTTTTGGAGGGGCTAGGGTTTAGGTTTTGGGTTTTGTTTTTTGTTTGGGATCGAGGGGCCCGATGCCTTTGAAGCTCAAAACCTAAAGCCCTCATGCCCACGTTTCCGCAGGAATGACTTTTCGCTGCCCTACATCTCCAGGCCCGTGCTGCCTAAGGTCCAGAGATGCGCAGTCTTTCGAAGTCCCAGTATCTGCAAGTCTGAACATTCAGTAAGTTCTAGAACTATGCTAGCACACCCCAAAATCCTATTCTAGTCATGTTGGCAGTCGCACATCTCCAGGTGCAGAGTGTAGAAGAAGCAATCCAGGCCGTTGAACTTTGAAGAAAACCACCGAAAAACCAAAGCTTTCAAGCAGATCAAGCAAGTGATTGGGCACAGGACTTGGTTCGCGGTTTTGGATTTAGACTTACAGTTGGGAGTTTCAGCTAGACGACTTCAGACTTCAGGATGTAGTGGTGCCAGGTGCACTGCAGGGTCAGTCTTCGAGAGAGAGGGGATCGAGTTTGGGCATCGGGGTTCAGAGTTTCGGGCTCAAGGATTGTTTTTTTACTCTGTGACTGTGGGGTTTGGAAGATCACCCTAAACCCTCAAACCAGGCTGGTCTGTGGACGAAGCTG